AGGATGTTTTTGCAATTTCGGATTTGGAGCTGACCCAGACAGATTTGTTACATCATAACATTGAGGTTGGAGATAGTTCTCCCATTAAGCAACGAGCCCGACCTGTACCTTATGCGCTGCGTACCCAGGTTTGCGAGATGTTGGGGGATCTCAAGAAAAGAGGTGTAATCGAGGATAGCTCTTCTCCGTGGGCCTCACCAATCGTACTGGTGGCCAAAAAGGATGGATCAATTCGGCTATGCGTCGACTACAGGGAAGTAAACAAAGTCATCAAAAAAGATAGTTATCCGCTTCCACCCATAGACATGACACTGCAGAATCTGCGCGGAAAACGGTATTTCACGTCTCTCGACCTAGCTAGTGGCTACTGGCAAATACCCCTGACTGAGCAAGCGAAAGAGATCAGCGCATTCATCACGACAGCAGGACTTTTTCAATTCCGAGTACTCCCTTTCGGGCTCTCGACGGCACCGGCGGTGTTTCAAAGCTTATGGAAAAGGTCTTAGGGCCACTGATGGGAGCTGAAGTGTCCGTTTACATTGATGACATGCTTATAGCGACGGAAACAATGGAGCGTCATGTGGAGGTTCTGGGACAGGTTTTCCAAGCGCTACAGCGAGCGCATCTGAAGCTAAAACCTCAAAAATGTAGAATTTTTCAAAATTCCGTGGAGTTCTTAGGACACGTAGTGGACCAGGACGGTCTGCGCACTGACCCTGGTAAGATAGAAAAGATTTGCGATTATCCGCAACCACGGAACCTTGCGCAACTCAGGACCTTCTTAGGCATGACGGGTTATTACCGGAAGTTCATTTTTCGATATGCACAACTTGCTCAACCGCTGTACGATCTCACGAGCACAAAGGCGTCGTTCCAGTGGTCAGAAGCACACCAACTAGCGTTCACATCCTTGAAGGATCTCCTCACAAAAGCACCGGTCTTGGGACAACCGGACATTGAGGCGGCACGTCAAGGAAAGCGACCGTTTTACATATATACAGATGCATCTCGCATTGGGATAGGAGCGGTTTTAGCGCAAGAGGGGAATGACAAACTGATTCATCCGTTACACTTCGCCTCAAGAGGGTTGTCCAAGTCAGAGAAAAACTACCACATAACGGATCAAGAAGCATTGGGTGTTATGTTTGCGGTAAAGAAATTTCACTATTTCATCTATGGGGTGCGTACCATTGTCCTGACCATCACGCTGCCCTAACGTCGTTGTTTAAACGAGCTAATGTTTCACCACGCGTACTGAGGTGGGCATTAGAACTCCAGCGTTATGATCTGCAAATAGAGTACGTAAAAGGCGCAGCAAATAAGGTTGCAGACGCACTTTCGAGGGGAACAGTCTCAGAAGGATTCGATGGTGCTCCTAAATCTATCGAAATTGGGAACGTGGTGGCAGTGGTTGCAGACCAAGACTGGCTCGTAGAATTAAGAAAAGATGAAAATTTTGGATCAGTCATAGAGGCAATAGAAGAACAAAGGGAAGAGGAAGTCACGTTGACGCGACACGGTAAGAAACTTACCTCGGCCGATTTCGAGATCAGCAGTGGGAAACTGCGTCTGATTCGCGCAGATGGCTCCAAGGTGAATGTGATACCCGAGAGCAAGCGACGAGAACTTTTCGAGGAAGTACACTATGGACTCATGGGTGGCCATTTTGGGTCCAGGAAAATGTTGCTTCAGTTGGAAAAAATAGCATTCTGGCCGGGGATGAAGCAGGATATTGCAAAATGGTGTCGGGAATGCCAAACGTGCTTTGTTAACAACAGCCATAGGATAAACACCCCTCCGCTGAAGCCGATTGTCGTGTCGAGACCTTTCGAAATAGTGGGTGTTGACTTGCTGGAGATGGGCATTTCGAGCAGAGGAAATAGATATATAGTAACTATCATCGATCACTTCACTAAATATCTTGGAGCGTACCCAGTACCAAACAAAAAGGCAGAAACGGTAGCAGAAGTTTTGTTCAGCCAATGGATTTGTGCCGCGGGGAGGTGGCCCGAAAAACTGCTTTCAGATCGCGGAGCGGAGTTTGAGAATGCAGTTGTCACTGCACTGTGCGAAGTGATGGGCATCGAGCAGCTATTCACCAAAGGATACTGCCCTCGGGAAAATGGGATAACCGAGAGGGTAAATGGAACTATCATTCGCATGCTACGAAAGAAAACGGTGGTGCCCGCAGAATGGGATGTCATTCTACCTACTGTTGTTTATGCGTATAATGCATGCCCACACGAAGCGACGGGAGAAAGCCCTCACTTTCTCATGTACGGACGAGATCCAATATATCCCTCACAGATTATTCCTAGGGAACAATTATCGCCATGCACGATGGACTATGATCAGTACAAAACAGAGTTTTTGTCGGGCTTAAAACTTGCGCGCGAGTGCATTTCATCCCACTCTGAAGAGTATCGAGGAAGATGAAGGATCAGTATGATAGGCGTTTCAGTACCGACAAGTCGACCATAATAAAGGAAGGTGATCGCGTTTATGTGAAGGTGCCGCCAGAAAAAAGCAAAGCATCGCACCCAAAGCTGGTCACCGATTGGTCAGGACCATATAGAGTCATCGAGAGCAGCACAAACTCTGCACTAGTCACCTTGATAGGGCAAAATAAGGAGCCAATAAGGGTACAATGGGATCACCTGATAAAATTACCATCCGCGATTCCCGATACCCCTCTGAGGACTAAAGGCCTTCGTGGACGACGTGGTCGCAAATGTAACGTGGCAAGTTGTTGCAATATGATCCGTAATCACTTCGTTTTCAGACAGCCATCGATCGCGATCACGAATCCGCTCCACGTCGATTTCATTTGCCCAGGAGGTTTATCGCTCGATGGACAGAGACTGCCCTGTGCTTGCAACATGACGTGGCGTGAAATCTCTGGCTCGAGGAATTCACCAGTGGACAATCTGACCTTCGACTGCGTCTACAAGCTCGCCCGTGTGGCCACTATCATGTCTCAGACGCACACTTCTCCGGAGATGCGAATGGCTCGAATTCTGGACCCAGAGTATGACGCCCTATCCCCGACCGGACTGGGATTCGCTATATCATTTTTCTCAGCCAAATGTTTACACGTGATGCAGGGCATACAAATGAGATTCTCGACAGGGCACCACGGACTGGAGGCGCACCCGTGTCGCACACAGGACGACCTATACGATCTCTCAAGTCTCTTCGATTACGCGTGCAGCTGGGCGCAAGCCCATCCATGGACAGAAACGCTGTGGAAAGACCTCCCACCGAAAAAGACTCTGATGTTGCTGCCGCGGGACTTCAAAGAGCACGTTTGTTCGATCCAGTCGCATTCTCAACTAGTCAGGATTTATTCCAAGCCGGACGATATTCAGGAAAGCTGGTGTCAAGATGAGTTTTCCGCTGTTGTGCTATTCAGCCCTTCGAGGGCGTACGATACTGCAGCGTGGGCTCGAGCGTGGCAGTTGATGCTCGGAATGATATCCGATGGAGTCGAGTTGTTTGTTCTAGGAACTCCTCGAGATCACCAACAGTGGCCCAAAGCAGTGGACATATTGAGAGATCTGTGCGAAGAGACAATTGCTCAGGTACCACGACTTCAAAGTCGAATCAGGTGTCTACTGATGTCGAGAGCCGAGCAGAATCTCCCACTCCACCCCTGCAATGTTGTTGGAGAGAGGACTGGTGCACATCCGCATTCTTACTCGACGGGGGAAGTCAGAAAGTTTTACGAGGCCACGCGCGAATTCTGTATCCCACACATAAGGCTTACACCGTATTTCAAGATACGGACAAAATCGGAAGCTATGAAACATACACCCAAACCGTTCAGAGAAGTTCAGGGCCACAAGGGATATCACCGGAGCCAAGGAAGGCCGCGCCAACGGAATGAGCATACGGAACACCGATGCAAGCTAAATCGATGCCCCGGAAATGCCCCTGCCCACAGTTATCGAAAGGCGTTTTCAAGGAGTACCCACAAGCCAGTATACAGGAATCAATTCAAAAGGTCGCCGGAAAGATGGACACACAGTACCCGGTTTCATAAGGGCTGAGTGGGACAGCCTTATTCGCGGGGGGAGGCATGTGAGGGCATCGTTGGTCAAGATTGGCGGGTGGCCAATGATGCGGGAAGAGATCGGAAAGCGACGGCGCGGCCTGGGTGGTCAGCAATGATCACCGTAGGTCGCGCGGGAAAGTCGCTATAAGTAGCCCTCGGGGCATACTCGAACAGGTTCTACAGTCTACATCTACAGTCGCCTGCCTGCCCTTCTTATTCTCCGCTGCCGTTCTACTTCTTCGATCACCTAAAGAATTCGTTCTTCCTAACACCTGTTATTCGTTGTTCTAATAAATTATTCCTATTCGTCGAGTCCTGTACTGGGTGAAACTGGGGATATTCAGAAATGAAGAAGCAACAAGCCGACATGGGGGCCAAGCAGCCCAAGACGGATGAAGACGACGGAATAATTTATTAGAACAACGAATAACAGGTGTTAGGAAGAACGAATTCTTTAGGTGATCGAAGAAGTAGAACGGCAGCGGAGAATAAGAAGGGCAGGCAGGCAGACTGTAGGTGAACCTTTCGAGTATGCCCCGAGGGCTACTTATAACGACTTTCCCGCGCGACCTA